GCAAAGCTGTGTGTCTGTGGAAGAGGGCCCCTCGCACAGCGTGAGATGAAGACCCCAGGCTCTGACTGCACCGGTGGACTTCAGGATTGACAAGATCTCTCCCCTGTTAACCCAAGCGGTGTGTGAAACACACCTTAGAAAACAAATTTTTAGGCTGGAGACAAGCACTTCCCATGTTCACCAGAGCAGCTTGCCAGCACGCTCCTAAAAATAAGTGTATTTGAAGAGATCATACGCTGGAAATCTGGATGCGGGAATTTACACACTATGATGACTATGCAGATACAAATCGACATCAAAATGAAAACTAGGATGTTTTTCTACGTGCTGATAAGCACAAGGTTCCTCTCCATGGAGAGTGGATGGCACACATCAGAAGGCAGCGTTTAGGTTGGTGTTACAGATATACTGTCCAGGACACGGTGTCTATAGTGTGCCCTCACTGACCCTTAGAGCACACGGTCTGCCCCAAAATGAAGCTGGCTGTGGTAGCCTGAAGCTGCCCTGTGACATGCATGCAGCAAGCGCAAGCAGCGAGGGCAATTGGGAGATGCACCTTCAAATCACAATCCCAATGGGAAGAGATGGGCACAGCCTGCAAAGCTTGGAGAAGGCAACGCTTTGCCTGAATTGTTGAACAGTGGGGCAAGAACAAGGTCCGGGGGGGAGGGGGGGGAGTCAAATGTGGTCACGGTTACACATGAGCAGAACCAACTATCACTCCATTTTAAGCCGTGAAGCTGTGGAGGAATGTCTTATGTTCATGGGACCAGCAGGTACGGAAACTCTCTTCACTCCTTTGCAAGTTAAAAACTGCTGTTGGTTTGCTCTGCTATGCCCCATTTCACGTTCTCTGCATCAGCATTAGCCTGGTTTTCTTTAAGCTCTCAGATGAGTCCCAATCTTTCATGATGACATCCCAGTGCAGAGACATGCCACATACATCCCAAGGACCTCCTTGAAAGAACAAGACAAGGAGGGGAGCAAAGCACGGCCCTTGTGGTAGGTTGCCCCCGGGCAGGGGTGCTCCAGTGCCAGCAGCTCCCTGGCACTGCTCAGGGGCAGCTCACGGCCTTGGGGGGGGCAGAGTTGGGGCACCACAGTCTGTCCTTGTCCCACATATGCCCTGGAGCAGCGAAAGAAAGGAGGGATCAGCTGTTCAGCCCTCTCGCAGGGCCTCTTGCTGCAGCCTGTCACCTCCTAAGTGCTTTCGTGCCACATGATTATTCCTGTGAAGCCGGAGGCTGTTTATTTGGTTTTAGGGTTTTGTAGCTCAGCCCACACCCTAGCATCTGAAAGGGTTTACCAACAATTCCACCCCCACCTTTTTCCTGCTCTTTTGAACTCAATTGTGATGAGTATTGCACCAAAAATGTAATCTCTATTTCAAAAGGATCAATATAATCTGCTCCCATGTCCCTGTGCTTCATACTTAGCTCGGAAACAAATGACTGTGACAAAAAGAAAGGATCTGGTGATCTGCCAGTATTTCTGACAACTAGAACGGCAATACAAAGCCATAACACCACAAAGGTTTCTACAGGGCACAATGTAAAAGATTTCCCACTAACCAACCATAGCTCTGTAATGATCTGCCTAAATAATTATCCGATCATTTTTTAACATGCTTGCATCAAAAAATTAGTTCAGTGAGGTGATTTATTTAAAATAGCAAATCAATATTTTTCCGTATAGTTGCTGATCCTGCATCTCTAACCATCCTGGGACTCCCCCAGGTAATACAGCAGCTTAAGCTTAATGTTATTATTGCACTAACCTTTCAGCTGTCTTTAACAATATGTTTTGGGTTTTTTTACAATAGCTGGGACTGAACTGGGTTGGAAAAAAAAAAGTGTGGACCGCCAGTGAAGTTCAGCAAAAGTGGATGTGAACAGGGGTTAAAAAATAGGTTTCTTTTTATGCCCAGCCCTGGCCACGCGCTGAAGGAATGGAAAGGAGGTTCCCTGGGCTCAAGGGGCTCCCACCGTGCCACCGGTCAAACTGTATTGTAAACAGCTTCCAGCCCAACCAGACTTAAATCGTACTACTTCTACTTTTGATATGAAGTTAAAAGTCTGGGGTTGACACAACCATAATTTTTTCTTAACTTTCAACAAATCCAGGGAATTGTTTGGATATAGGTACGTAGGGCACTGCTCCAAAAGAGGTATGTACCTGAGAAGATAAGGAGAATGGATTTAATATCTCTTCATTCAGCAGATGAAGACATAAAATAGAGCACACCTTAGAGAAAGGACTATTGATTCCATTTATTATGGTGTTTGATGAGCACTCAGATCATCTAGGTGTTTTTTTGCAAGCGTTATCTCTTAATGCACCTGCCCCTAACAGTCACAACCCTGTTAGACAAGTACCTGTAAGGATCAAACTGAATCCATACTAAAGAACAGTTTGAAGGGTTATTTTTGCTTGAACCAGGAGTGAACCTGAACCATTATTCTGAAGTGTTTACAGAGCCTAGGCTGGGCTTGATTTATTTTCTTTCAAAAAAGCCTTTCAGCTCCCTAGATAAAACTGAACTGAAAATTCATATAAACAAGCTAAAAGAAGACTATGTCAGTGAGATTCTACACAAACAGGAAATATTTGCGCTTATGTCAAAATTTGCTGTCACTAATGTTTTACCAGAGTGTCAAGGCTGGAAATGGTGTCTCAGAAATCCTAGAGCTGTAATCCTGGGTAAGGAATTTTATGTTGAGCAAGGCAAGCAAGGCAACACATTTAAAAACCTGACATACTAATAGTCCGTTTATTTAAAGAAAAGACTCTTCTACCATACGGACGTTACAAGACAAATTAAAACAAAATGGATGAAAAAGAATTACAAGTAACATAGACCTTTGCTGAGATACACTCCTGCTAAAAAAGGATCAGGATTTTATTCTTTTTAACACATCTCCTATAAGGTGAATGGAGACATAAACCATAATTTCTCTCCATCTCACATGCTCTCTCTCACACACACAGAAGTTACAGGAAATGCTATCAAGACTTTGAGCACAAACCTAATTCCAGAGTACGCACTGGTTCACACAGTGATGTGGTTTTATGAGTCTTCACAATGTAAGAAGTGGGATCCAGCTCTGCACCTATAAACTACCAGCCCTGGTAGATGGGAGAGCTCCTGGTTAATCTGTCATCACCACTAGTGTTACCTTCCGACAACATGCTTATAGCCTCATCGGTCTGCTGGCTGTCAGTTGTCGATACCTTCTTTGAATCGTGGAGGTTGCTTTGGTAGTTCACTGGTGAGGGATAGGCATTTTCACCTGCAGTCGATGAGGACATTGACTCCCAGGGTATCTCTCTTTTTCGCCATTTCAGGTCCACTCTCCACCCTGTCCAGCCATAGAAAGCTAATGTGAAGAGGAAGCCTTGCATCGGATTAAGAACCCCCTAGGAAAGAGAAATGCAACAGGAGTTACGCCAGCAAGGCTTCATCTTGAACTCCAGCTAAACATTTTGCATGCATTAACAACTGCCCTTTCGTTGAAAAACTGCTGTCTTTAAAAGATGGTGATTTGCACACAAAAAGGAGTGTATGTTGTTCCCATTGCAGACACAAATTGGAGTGAAATACCACCACCTATTCCAATACGCTGAGGCCATCCCAGTGAACGGTAAGCACCAAACGGTTTTCTAGCATGACTTTTAGCTGGTCATTCCCCTTGCGTGTTTTTAACTTTCCCCACAAGCTTTAGACTCTTTTATTCACAAGAGCAAATATTATATTTTTCACTGGAAGCCAAGTCAAATATACGAGAGTAGACACTAGCACACAGAGTCAAGTTTTTAAAAATAGCAGGAATTGATCTGTCTAGAATTGCTGCAGATTCCTGAGCCAGTGAAAATGTCCATCAAAGTGGAATGGAAAAATGGCGAGGGACACTGAAAAAGAAAATCCTGAATGATTTCCAAAGACAATTGTCTCTGTTCCCAGTGCCGTGGGATGCTTGGCAAGTAAATAGCTTTAGTTGTTTCTATTTTTCTCATGACAAAAGAGCAAATTATTTTTACAGCCATTTTTAAAAAATAGCTCAGGTCCTAGACCTGTCCTTTTACTCTCCAGGTGAGCAAGAGCAAGGTCTCTGTCACGTGAATGTGTTCACTCCCTGTCAGAGGAGGAGGTTGTATCAAATCAGTTGCATTGCTTAACCCTTCAATACAAAACTGTTCAAGGGCTTAACTACACAAAGCATTCTCAGGCCTTATAGGTATTTAACAGCTCCAGAATAAACTCTCCTGGAAAAGGAACCTGCAATATCACCTATGAAAAATCCCTTGTCAAATATTCCAATAGGAGAATAGAGGGTAGGGTACAGTAAGAGGCCAGCATCTTACAGGGTTTTTTTGGTGCATTGCTTTCAAGATTTTTCATGTATTTGTCCTCAAATAATTATCCAAATGTCATGATATAAGATGCAATTATTCTTTATAATAAAGAAAACCTCGTTACAAACAGAGAATTACCAGAAAAAGCCCATTTTATTGGGGAAACCTTCAGGAATTGTGAGCTAAAACTTTGTAGTTTCCATTATGGCAGAGGTTAGAAAGGTTAGACTAGAAACCATTGTAGTGGTCTGTTCTGGATCTTAAAATGGGTAGCAATCACTCACAGAGAGAATATATACTCCAGTAAATGGGAGAAAAAGTTGGCCTTTGGTACATTTTTTGGCAAAATTTATATGTGAAAAGCACTCCCAGTGACCGCTCCTTCCTCTCTCTTACTTTCTGCTTTTCTTCCTTGATTTTCAGAGTGCTTATATCCCCCAAAATCATAAATCACCCACCACACTGGTGCTGTTCCACCAGTCTTATAAAAGTGATTTCTAAGACTAAGCAATATCATGGCTGACGTACCATTATAATCCATGTGATCAGTGCGGCACTTCTAATGTTCTTCAGAGGCATTTCATTGATATCTGGCTGCATTTCGAGGTAGAACAAAAGGCTTTCGTTGATGATATTGGATGACCAGCTATTGCAGAAATAAAGAAGAGGAAGAGAACAAGACAGTTATATATATGTGAATGTATATGTAAAACAAGCTTTACTTTCAAATTATATAAATTAGGATCACTAATAAGGAGAGTGGGATCTTTTTTTTAATGTCGTCTCAATCTGAGGGGACCAGTAGGTCTCTGAGATCAAATACCAGGCACTTACCTGCTAGCCCAGGACTAGACAAAGAAAACAATATAACAACAACAACAAAACGAAACAAACAAAACCCCCAAAGCCAAAAAAAAATTATCATTTGAGCTTGCTGCAGAACAGTAAATTGCAGGACAAAATTGATAAACAGCTGTGATCCATAATGGGAACATCATGCATGCTGACTTCTTTTGCTTGTGTCTTAAAAGCATAGTGCTCACCAATAAGGAAACCAAATATATGCTTGGGTGTTGTAAAAGGCTGCAGAAACTCTAGCTCAAGAATTTCAGGCTTAGATTACAGCAGACTTTCAAAATGTACATAGGAAAACTACAAAACAAAACCAAAGTTGACGTTAAAATCCTTGAAAATGGCATCAATTTTTTGGAATATAGGTAATTTCTGTTTCCTAATAAGGATAAGCATAATCAAACTTCATCCTGTGAAAGAAATTGAGGCTATTCTACACTAAATAAATGTTATAGCAAATGGCTGTAACTTCTTATGATTTCTAAACAGCCAGACCAGTGTTTCTTTATAGGCCTACTGCAGCTTTAGAAAGGAAACCATCAGCATCCATGTCATACTTTTTAAAGGGGTTTATATATGTCCTTCCTGTAATTATATTTTTATTGCAGTGTAAAACCTCCTGCTCTCCCATCCCAAATCTGTAGGCATCTCTCAAGTCCTTGACTAACTCATCTCGTATTTGATTTCTGGGAGGGAAAGGAATCTTCCCTAAGCTTCTGAGATGGTGCTGCCTCAGTCTTTC